AGGGGAGGGGATGGGGGGATGGGTTAGCCCGGTGATGGGTATTAAGGAGGGCACGTACTGCATGGAGCACTGGGTGTTATATGAAAACAATGAGTCATGGATCACTACAGCAAAAACTAATGATGTATTGTATGTTGACTAACATAATAAAATAAAATTTAAAAAAACAAAAAAACAACAAAAAAAGACACCTCAGTGCTTCCAAAAGAGGTATGAGTTAGACATGAGACTAGGACAGGATCTCGAGCATAGTGTTATGCCAAGCATGGTACAACACTGGGGAGTTGCTGATTTTTCTTTTCCAAAGGGGCTGACGGTATAATTCTAATTGACTATTAGAAATAAAGTCTTAAGAGATTTAATAAATGCATCCTGTAAAAAGGTTACAAACTAATATGTAGTCATAACTTACTTTTGAAACTGGCTAGTGCTCACTTCGGCAGCACACATACTGCAGTAGGAACAATCTAGAGAAGATCAGTGTGGTCCCTGCGCAGAGGACATGTACATTTGTGAAAAGATCTGTGTATGTCAGTGATTGCCAGGGACTAGGGGATGTGGCAAAGATACTGACTACAAAGGAACACAGTGGAACTTTTGGGTGGTAACAAAAGTGTTCTGTATCATGATTGTAGTAGTGGTAACATGACTATTCATTTGTCAAAACTCATCACACTGCAGTCTTACAGTTGGTGATTTTATTGTGTGTGAGTTACATCTCAATAAAGCTGAAAAAAGAATTCTGACTTTCTTTCACCCCATGCATTAATTGGGATAATACAATATCATGAAAATCACAGGGACTTTTCCCCTCTATTCTTTGCTTGAGGAATTCAGGCATGGCAGAACCAGCAGGTCTTTTAACAATTTATCAGCCTCTTGCAATCAAGTAAAAATTCACCATATTTAGATACTGAAACAAGTAATTATTTCAATGGAAAATCTAATAGTTGCTTATCCCTAAACTAAGGGAAATATTGAGAAACATAGAAAGTATTTTTTCTATTCTTTTTTTTTAAGATTTTATTTTTAAGTAATCTCTACACCTAATGTGGGGCTTGAACCTACAACCCCAAGACCAAGAGTTGCAAGCTCCCCAGGCTGAGCCAGCCAGGCACCCCTGGAAAGTAGAATGATCAATCATTAGTAATGGTTCTCAAAAAACAAAAGACTTTAAGGACAAAGTCTTTCTTCAAGATAAAGATTATTATTCACCTTTTGATCACCAAGATCTAATTTCTTTCTCCAAACATTCAAGTTAAAACTTTGAAAAAAATATATATGCACATTATGTACATAAAATGAGTATGTGTTTTTCTGCCTCCAATACATGCACTGAGGACAACAGAAGGTTGTTTGATGAAATCAATAATGTGGAAAAGAGTTACTTTTGTCTTTTCTCCATCTAGACTTTTTTTTTTTTTTTGGCAGACCAGTCTGATGAGGTGGGAAAAAATGAAGCTTGAAGAAAAGAAAACTGAAGCTAAAAACAATAGAGAAGATTGATTAACCCCACGTTATCAGGTTAAGTGTCAACAGCAAGGAGCTACTGGGCTTCTGCAGTGTTTCCCTCTAAACTTTCAGCCTTACATCCGTCAAACCTCAAGATAACTATCCATCATGGAGTCAAAGTGGCGAACAACTGTGTGGTCCTTTGATAAGGGACAGTGTCACAATTTGTCTCCTTCTCTTCCCACAGATCGCCTCTAATGGGGTAAAGCCAGGCCACAACAGCTGCAAAGAACCCAATGACATTCTTTAGTATAAAAGAAATTCTCAGACAGTATGTACAGCAGGAATCTAAACAACATTCAAAAAGTATCTAAACTCAATGATTATTTACTTGTTCTATGACAATTGTATTTGTTCTTTCTGGACACTAATGTTGGTCAAACCACTTTTTAAATATAATTAAATGGCAGGATTATGATACACTTAAAAATATGATGATGTTAACAATCCCCTGAGAGCTACAATGCAGCATCTATACAACTAAGTAACATTTAAAATCTGTAGCTGGACTATATTAGCATTTATGCAATGCCTACAAGGAGGTAATTCATCCATTTAGACGTACAACAGAGTATCACCTATGCCATTCAAAAATGGAGAGCCCCATCCTCTCTGCAAAAAAAAAAAAAAAAAAAATCAGCCTAACTAATGAAGAATGCTTAGTAGCATAGAAAATGACTATGTCATAATATTAGGAGAAAGAAAGCAAACTTTTAAAATATGAATTATTATTACAACTATGTTAATAAATATTCATGGGGAAAAAAGTGCTTGAAAGTTTACAAAGTATACCAATTGGTGTGTTAAAGTAGTGAGAATATGGACAATAATTTTTTCTGCTCTGTTCTTTGAATGTTTTCAAAAATTATTTTATTCCTTCTTGACATTTTTTTCTCCACACACTTGAAAACTAACCAGGTTTACATTAAGATTCCCTTCCCTAACATTCCATATCTGCAAATATTAGTTTTAAAAGAAAGAGCTCTGAATCATCACCAGCAAGGAAGATGTCACCTCAAGCTGACCTGTAACTATCCTGTCGTGGGCCAACAGATCCCAGCTTCTTAAGTAGGAAGCAGCTCTATTCAAGGATAGTGAGAAAAAAAGTAATCCTAGGTAATTGTTCCGAGGCCTTGTCTTGTCACTCTGTCTTTCCATGGAATTCAATAAAGTGGAAATGAGGGAGGAGAATGAAAGATTTATGTAATCAGTTCAGAATCTCATGGAACACCCTGATGACCAAGCAAAGGAGTTATTCTGCTCCATCCTGAGCACATTTCTCCCCTTAAGCTACAGTATAACTTCTTTTGCCTTCACATCTGCTCTTGGAGTTCATTTTAGACTGATTTTATGTGTATGAAAATATTTAAGAGGGAAACACTGAGTTTCCCCAGGCTTCAAGCCACCTTCTGAGATGATAGTCCTTTAGCCCATATATGTCCCCCAACATTCTCCAACAGTCATGGTATCTGAAGTACATTCTTTATTGTCTTAAAGGCATTTTAGTGTATTCAGTTTTTACCAAAATGCAGAAACCTATTAAAGAAGTGTAATTAGCTAGTATCATTTTCAGTTAACATTTATGTTGGGACTGGAAAAGGATATGGGCAAAACAAAACCTATGAGAATGAGACAGCAGCTAGGAGTAGGAACTGCCAAAACGGAGGGAAGTTTATTGAAAGGGAAGGGAGGAACAAAGCAAATGAAATCTGCAGCATTCACCATTTGATCCTGGGCCAATCCTGTTGATCCTTGTTGAGTAAAAAATGTGAACTTTAGAACTGGAACAATTTGGATTCAAATCCTATCTCTACTGCTTAGTAATTGTGAGGAGATAGACCAGTTACCTAACCTGTCTCAATAGTGTTTTCCTTACCAGCCAAGAAGGAAAGTAACGTATACTTCATGAAAATATTTTAAGTAATAAATGAAATAATTGTGCATTTAATCATGTATAATCAAAACTTCACAAATGTTCATTACTATTCCCTTTTCCTTTTCTTCTCATTTTCTTCTGCAAATTAGGTATATTATATACTCCCTAAATCCACATTTGCAGTGAGTTTTGAAACCCTATTAAAGATAGTTGACCAATATCATTGTCTTCATGATGGTCAAGACTAGATTTCCAAAGGCCATGCTGGCTCCTAAAGATTCTACTTTCTGTCTCAAAAAAAAAAAAAAATCCAGGTCTGTTTTCTAGCTTTTTCAGTAAATAGCATAGAAACTCCACTTGTGTACTTCTTGGATGAACAATTCAAACTGCCTGTTCCATACTAATCTGTTACAGAATGTAATGAGCTCCCCAGATGTGGGCTGTTTGAGAGAGGAGCCACATGCAGAGATCAGTAGAGAAGTGACTCTCATCACAAGCCCCCAGATGAGGCCTCTAAAATTCAGAGGGCATCGCAAAAAGCTATGAGAAGCCCGGCTATGAGTGCGCAATGCCCACTGACTGTCCCAAATCTAAAGGTTTACTCAACCTGAAAAACTGCCAAAGATGTTGGTTCTTAATTAGCAACACATATATCCTGCAAACTGAATAGTAAAAAGGTTTTAATTGTAGTGTCTTTGGTTTGTCACATACAAGCTGTTTGGAGGTCCCAAATTCCAAACCATTATGAAAAAATCTTCCAAGGGTGTAGGGTAAGACATAACTAGAGTACAAGCCAGTTGGGTTATTTTTTTTTTTTAATTATTGTTTTTTTGTTTTTTGTATCTACGGGTTAGAACTAAAAACAGTTCTAAAAAACAATCTGTGGCATGTTATTTGCTTTGTACCTGATCTTCTCATGAAGTCAGCAGGAGTTTTGCCACTGAAGGACTATGAGAAAGATGGTTTCTGCTAGAACCAAAAACTGCTACCCGATTATTCCAATTTGATGGGAAAATTAAGTCCGTATTATGTGTAATGATAATCCATAAGCATGCTCTAACAGCATTTAGCATGCAAGCATTATTCCTGAGAGTACTTTCAAATAAAAACAAATGTGACTCAACCTTTAAACATGGATAATGATGAAATTTGGGTCTATTAGGCCAGAAATAGAATGAAATTCCTAACATAAAAAATGAGGGATACTTTCTCTTTGCTTTACATTTCAAAAGCAAAAAAGGAAAAAAAATATTTTTACTGAACCTTTTCCATCCATGAGGAACCACTTCACACACACACACACCCTAATACATGAACGTATCTTCTGGAGTGCTAAGCATGTGATATACATGATAAAGCATTGCTATTCCCAGAAATATGGCTCTAAAATAGTCATATGTGACTATTCAATGAAAAGAGTGTTTAGGATAGCCCAATTTCAGAAAGCTGTGTTACAAGATCAGATTCTATTTTTAGGCTGGATTTTTCTAGACAGATGTGAAAACCCATAAAGAGGATTTTAAAAGTGTTATTACTGGTAAGTTATTGCACCCTTAATGTGGTCCGTACTGTGGCAATAGAAACTTCAGGAAAACATCTTTTCTTTCTGTCTCTTTCTCTCTTTAAACTTTATTTATAGCCTTGCAAAAGACTAGCATTCACATAACCCGCCTTTGCAGGCATGCCAGAAGATTAATGATATCGCAGTGTTCTTGAGAACAAAAATGTGTCTACCACTGTGTTGAATAATCTCTCCTTTCACACATTAAAAGTGAGATGAGGCCTACTTTAGAAAGCAAGGACAATGTGTCGCAAAGAGTTAGTTGGCTTAAAGACATACCCGTATTGCTATCCTGAATCACAAATTGTTTTCATGCATGTTATCTTGAGAATAAGAAAGCTTTTATCACCATCCCTTTTTTTAAATTTACATAGAGCCTCGAAATCTGACTTTTTCCAGCATTTTTTACAATCTGTTGCTTGTAAGAATTGAGAATTTAGAGAAAATTGTTCATTGTGACCTCTTTTATGTCTACTCTACTGAAATTTAGCTAACAAGAGTGAAAGCTATTTAAAGATTTAAATATGATAGATGCAGTCTATCATACAAAATTATATGATATATCTTGATGGAGGCTACTTTT